CAGTACCTCTCTTTGGTTCGCATCCACGCTGGAGACCTGATTTCCCCAGCAAGCCTCGGTTACCACCGGTACGACTTGGAGCTAATGGAACGAGAATCCCATATCACGGGATACATCGCCAAATATCTCCCTGCTGAGTACCAAGAGGCCTATCAAGCTGATGTGCAGACGTTGAGGTCTCAGTTTTTTGCTGAAGACGGCAGACTTAACCTGGCCTCGGCGACGTGGGAGGTATCTTACAATCACCTCATGGCCGCCACTTCCTGAGCCAAGTGAGAAGAGGAGATGCTCCCTAAGCAAGAGCTCCTGTAACAATAGAGGAGTTTCTCCCTCGTTAGGCGTAGAGCTGGCGGAGTTACTCCCCAGGGGTTTTTGAACTAAAGAGTCACAGGTGGAGCTTCTCCCCTAGTTGGTGGAGCTTCTCCCCCAACGAGGGGTGTACAGCTGGCGGAGTCTCTCCCTAGGGGTTTTTAAAAGCTTTGAGTCGCTGCCTGCAATAATTCTGCCTGCACTGAGCTACACTGAGCCAACAGCAATCCACCATCCGTGATGCAGGTCTCCTCGTGGTGGTCTGGAGCTCAGTGGCCTAGGCCCAGCTGCCTGCTTAGAAGCCAGCTTGAGCCAACAACCGCAGCTTTCTCTCAAGACTCAGCATCATGTCCAGACCTGAGTCAACACAGGATCCCTCGTTTCAAGCGGAGTACGAGGAATTCTGCCAGCGACGGATACGTGAACAACTTCCGCATGTCACGTATCGCAATTTCCTGCGCCAGTGGAGGCGCTCCGCTCGTGCTCACGGCGAAAGCTATCCTGCATATAAAGGAGTCTCTAAAGGTACTGGTGGACAGGAAGAGCTGGGAAGCGGAAAGGGTGGAGTCACTCCCCCTCCTCCTCCTTCCAAGAAAAGAAGTACAGGGCAAAGCGAGGGTGGAGATACTCCCCCAGCAGCAAAGGCCAAGAGTGGAGATCCTCCCTCGGGGGACCCCATCACGGAAGCTGCGATCAAAGTTCTTCAGTCAGCTGGTTATACCCCCTTTCCCAGTCTGATTTCAGACTGTGATGGGAACATCACTGACCTGAACAATCACCGAATTATGGTGACAGTAACTCAGCAGCTGCGAGATGGCCTCAATCAGGTGGAACGACCCTCCCCGGAGGTAGCCAATGCTCTCCTGGAGACCTTCCTGGCCTCTCGCCGGGGACTTGCCAATGAGCCTCTGCAGCCGAAGCTTGGATATCCCACAGCTGAGGAGAATGGGTGGTTTCGTTTTGAGTATTCTTCACCGAACATTCTTCCTGCAGGGGACAGCGAGGTTGCGTTCCACGGCACACACCTGGAATGTTTGCATGGGATACTGGCCACAGGCAGGCTACTACCTTCGACACCTGACCTCTCCGGCACGCGAAGCTTCGAGGCACGACCAGGCGTGTATCTTCACAGGATGTCAAACAGGCATCTTGCTGCCGGTTACAGTTGTCTGGTGAGGATAGGACCTCGGCACATATTCGTGCGGCCCATGTTTGAGGTGGAGGCTGCGCACTCTGGATCGCAAAAACGTGGTAAGAAAACAAACCAACTGATATACTCCTATGAAGCAGTCAAAATCCGAGCGCTGCTACTGCAAATATCAACCAAGGAGACACTCACCTTAGGTGAGTACCTCCGAGAGTGGAGTGGCTTGTTGGAGATACCACTGAGACAAGCACGGGAATCCTTTTTGGCGTTGGGATACGAGCTGCCTGGCGAAGCCTCGTCAAGTGGAGTCAAGGAAGGAGGAGTTGCTCCCCTTCCGGTTTGTGAGCAGGCGTCCAGCTCACAGGGTGGAGTTTCTCCCCCGACCATGGCGTCAGAGATTGACCACAGCTCAACAACGCCACGTAGCTCCACTATAGTGGCCTGGGAGGGCCAACCAGGCGATCTAGGGGACTATTGCACTGCCTCTACGAAGCCGGAGACCAGCTTCTCGTTCGAAGTCTCGAAGGCTCTAGCAGCTTCGCTCCGGCACGGACATAAACCCTACATCAGCGTCACTTCAGCTGGTTGGGCCAAATTAGAGGACGTCCTGAGATGGCCAAGAGTGCAGGCCCAGCACGCCACGGCAGGCGACCTCATGGAGGTCGTTCGGAGTAACGCAAAAGGCAGGTACGAGCTGGGCGATTGCCAAGGCCAGAAGTACATCAGGGCTCTGCAAGGACATTCTCGCTCTGATGTGGACTCCAATGAGGTGTTGGAGGAACTCACGGAGGAGATGCTCCCCAGAATGCTGTATCATGGCACATTCTGGTCCTTGTATGACTCCATACGCCAACGAGGCCTTCTGCCTCAGAACAAGATTTCCAAGGGCCGCGGCAAAGGCGGACGTGGCAGAGAGGGACGACAGCATGTTCACTTCGTCTCGGATCGGGACTATGGGAGACCTGGTGTTTCAGGATTCAGAGATAGCTCGTCGATGCTGGTAGCGGTCGATCCACGCAGAGCCATGCAGGTAGGGGTGCAATTTTTCCGTAGCAAGAACGGCGTCATTCTCACCCCTTCCGAAGTGCCCCCTTCTGTCATAGAGTACTACCAGAGCCTGAAATCAGGTACTAAGTACGGAGGCGACAACAGGCCGCTCTGATCGTGAGGACCCTCACCTAATGGTGGAGTCCCTCCCCACACTGATAATGCAGCTGCTCACGCAAAAATCTGTGTTATGAGGCTGAAGGTCACTTCAATTTCATCACCAGACAGCAAGTATACCCCGAGGTCGCATGTGAAGCTCCGTGCGCAGTCGTGGGCCCGGATCTGCAAGTGAGTTGTCAGCCAAAAGTTTTCTGGAAGCTCTACTTGCCTTCTCGTACAGGCTCAACTCACCAGCTGTCTCGACTGTAGAAGCCATGCCTGAAACACCGAAGAAGAGTGGCAGCAGAGCGACCTCCCGAACCCCTCCTCCAGTGCGACGTCGGCCCCACCTATCCAGGTCGCCGCCAGCCAGTGACGCCATTCGGGAGTCCGACTCCGAAGACACAGCAGCCCCTAAAGCAGCCCCTAAAGCAGCTGGGCCTAAGGGCCCGCCGCCTCCGATGCCTGTTAACCTGTCAGGAAGTGGATCTAGCACAGATCGGACACCGGGCCCAGGTAAGGCACCTGGAGTGCCAGTGAAAGGTGGAGTCCCGGGAGGAGTTTCTCCCCTGGGACCACCGCCAAAGGCTGTGACCTCAACGATCTCCCATCCAGGGACAGGAGAGCTTCATGTCACCAGCACAAGTCCGGCAGGAGTTGCTCCGCCATCTACAAATAGCAACAACGGTCTGGAAATGGCGCCTGGCCTGCCTCTGCTGAGTGTTTCATTGCCTCACCGCCTCTACTATAACATAGAGCTAGTGGTTCGTACCGAGCCTTCACAGCGAGGCTAGACACTCTCGCGAGACAGCAGTGTGCAAAATGGACGTCGCCAATCAGTCAGCGATACATTGCAAATCAGCCGGTTAACTACTTCATTAGTGCCAGAGTCTGCAGCTCGAGTCACTGAAGACACGTCCGATTCCGACTTCATTGCTTGCAGCCTTGAGGGGCGGAGCGTGTGCGAGTGCTGTGTTAAGGCACGGCTCGTCATGAAGTGACCGCGCAAGTAGCAAGCAGAGCAGCAGGTCGATCCCTCGCAAAGCGTGGACTTTAAGTTTCACCTCAGACAGTATCCTCCCGCTGCGTGTGAATGAATGTAGTTGTGGTTGTAGTTGTGGTTGTAGTTGTTGTTGTTGTTGCGGTCGCCCTCGTCCTCGTCTTCGTAGTCGTCGTCATCGTCGTCATCGTCGTCGTCGTCCCCGTCCTCGTCGTTGTCGTCGTCGTCGTTGTTGCTATTGCCGCTGTTGTCGTTTTTCTTTCTTGTCTTTGTTTCGCCGGCTCTGCTGGCTGGCACATGCGCAGTGTCGTAGTCGCGGCGGTGGCAGCTTAGCTGTTTTCCTCATGGCTCAGAACGGGCACGTCTGTCGGCATTTTCTCTCGAGACCCACTGGCCTCGACGCGCTGACTTCTTCGGCTTTAAACTGCGAGTGGCGCTCAGTCTCCATGGTTTTTGGAATGCCGTTTCGGTGAAACTGCACTTGGCCAGGTTCGCTGAATGTGGGCTCTCTTTCAGGCAGGAGGCTGGCATTTCTTGCCAGCCTGTGAGAAGCTTAGTTTGTTGTCGGGTTTGTCTGGAAACTGCCGTTTGCATTCTTGATTCTCCAAGATCTCCAGCTCTTACTGGATGCCGCTATGAAGTTCGGGCAGCCCAACATCTTTGTGCTAAGCTCAACGCTTTCAGTAGTGGGTTTTCTCTGACAGTTGCTGCCAGGGCTGTCGAAATGTTGTGGGGCCCCAATTTTGTTGTTTTAGTTTTCTGGGTTGAGCGAAATGTCATGTCAGTGTGAAACACGTGAATGTGCATCAGAGGCCATGTGTGTCGCTTCTTGTTGCATGTACATGCTTCCTTTCTCGAAGGCTCTTCTTTCCAAGGATGAAGATAGAAGCAGTCCTGCTTGCATGGTTGCTGCGCTTGGCTGAACGGAGCTCCACTAGTGTTCTGAAGCCAGAGGCCTGTTCGTGCGAGGTCACGTGTGATTGCAAGTGCACCCCTGCTGAGAACTCTGATTTGCTCCTTGGCCTTTGTATCCTCCAAGGGCTGGTGATAACCATTCTCTTTGGATACCTTGCTATATCAAGCAGGCCTGCTCGAAATGGTGAGCAGATTGATAGCCCGAGGAGGAAAGGCAGAGGATTTGTCCAAGTGCATGCCAGGCCAACATGTGGCTGCCTACTTCTCTGATGATGGGATGTACCACGAGCGAGTGCTGTTGTGGAAAAGCAGCGAGATGAAGTGGGTCATTGTCACAGCTGATCATGATGTATACCTGGAAGATTTTTCGGGTCACGGCGATCCTGGATGTGATTATTTCGAATCAAAGATGTAGATTTCAAGTATTGGTCCAGGGTGGGCGGATCCGTGTATCGTTTCAGCCAGGAACTCGAGGAGGAGGAGATGAAGGAAATGATCGGGCTGGCCATCCAGGAGCTTGGCGACGAGGTGTTCGCCTCGGGTGCCTGGAGGCCTACAGGGATTCTTCTGAAGAACAAAGTGATAGCTGATCCTACCGTGTTTCTAGGGCGCATGCTAGTTCAACGGCGACTGCACGGCAAGGGGCCGGGAACTCGCGCCACCGGTAACCAAGCTGATGGAAAGCAGGACGCCGGAATCAAGGCTCCAGTTGCTCAGATGAGACCTGCTTCGGAGGGCTGGGTTTGGTTGTCAGCCGAACCCCTTGGGGGCCTCGTTCTGGGGCAGGAGATTTTCGTGAGCCCCGAAACAGATGTGCAGGTTGGCGAGAGGACAGCCTTGGTTCTCCGAGGGGGTGTCTGGGTGGAAGCCGAGCTTATCAAAGTTGAGGACGCCGGCGATTTCGCAAGCAGGCGGCTGGCCTTGTTTGGAGCAGTGCCGCCGAAGGTTGAGGAGCCGGCGAAGGACCTCAGATTGATTGACGATGGTGGTGAGAGCGCGGCGAAGGACAAGGTCCAGGACAAGGACGAGGAAGTTCGTACTTTATGGGTGGATTTCGATGAACATGGAGACCGATTCAAGAGGTGGCGGGACGTATGCAAGGAGTCCTATACGCCAGTGTTCAGCAACGTTCCCATATCCGGACCTTTGACCGCATTGCACTTCATCACACATGCTGAACGCCATGGGGCAGACGTTCGGCAGTGGTTTCAGCTATGGTGTAGGACGAAACATGTGGAACCCACCGATCGCATCTACCATGAGCTTATGGTGTTGACCGACGCTATCCATTATGCCGGTACCCATGACCAGGTCAACATCCCAGCACTCATCAGCCTTGAGATTGTCTGCAGGCGGGTTCAGAGTGTGGTAGAGGCACACACGAACCCTAACAAGCCGAGCTGGGAGCACGCCAAAGTGTTCCAAGGGCAAGGATCTCCGGAGGACATTGTGTCCCCAGTCTTCAGGAGCTACGCGATTAAGAAGAACAAGGAGGAGCTAGAACTCCTACAGGCTCGCTTGAAAGTTCGGGAATTGCGGGGTGCTCCTTTGGCAACAGCAGATGACACAGGAGCCGAAGGCAGCGAGAGTCAGCCCTCGAAGACCAAGCCCCCGAAGGGTAAGGGGCGAGGCGGCAGGGGGCAAGACAATGCCTAGACATCAAGGCGGTGGCCAGGCCTGTCCCTCGGCCGGGTCACCTTTACACCGTGGGGGACATCATGATGGAGCGGTTCAGCCTGGCGCCGCTGCTTGGCCTAGTGGGCGCGAGAGGCAACTGTTTCCCCTACCGCTTTTTGCAATCCCACCTTCTTTGCCTCACTCAAGTCGGGTGGTTCAGCAGAGGAGTTCTCGAATTAGGAAGGCTTTCGGCAACTGCAACGAAGTCGTCAAAGCCTTGAATTGGATGGCTGGCAAGACTGATCGAGATGAGAGCCTTGCCAACGCCAGCCCGATGCAGGTTCAGGCCTTGTCACGTGTGGAAGGTTTGGTCTTTGATCAAAAGCCCAGTGGTGAATTGGCCAGTCCGGAGGAAGCACTACGTTCGCTTCTCCATGGAGGTTCTCCCTACGATTGGGTACCCTCCAACGAAACGCTCGCCTCTTACGATCCTGACTTGCTCTTTATCCCTAGTGATGTCAGTGGATGTCCACCTTTGCGGGATGTCCTTCCTGAGAGTGATTGTCGTTATCTCGAAGAGAAATCAGAGGTGATGTTGAGTTCGGAGATTGAGCAGGAGGCTAATATGAGGCCTTAGTGGGACCCAAAGCTCAGGTTCAACAAGAAGGTCTACAACGACCTTGTACGCCGGCTCGATGGCATTCATTACTTCATGTACACTACCAAGCCTGCCTGCAAAGTCGGTGTGTTTTTCGTTTGGAAGAGCTCTCGTACCAGATTGAGGCTGATAACCGATGCCAGACTGTCCAACCTCATGTTCAAGGCACCTGGTGTCAGCCTCATGAGCAGCGAGAGTTTTGGCCGGATTGAGGTCGTCTTTGAGAACGGTGTTTTCGCGGACCCGGATGAAATTGACAGGCTGGTCACCTACCTTGGGCTTAGCGATGTTAAGGATTGCTTCCACCGAATGAGGGTTCCGTTGTGGCTGGCTCGTTACTTCGCATGGGAGCCTGTTCCTGCAAACGTGGTTAACCTCGAGAATTCTTATGTGGATGGCAAGTTCGTTGGGCCCTTGGATCCCGTTTGGCCGTGTGCTGGAAGTTTGTGCCAGGGCTTCTCCTGGTCCCTTTACTTTGCACAGAGGGCCAATGAGCGGGTGAGCCATTCGTGCTCGCTATTGTCTGAGGCCCGACTCCTTCATGATCGTGGCCCTCCGCTTATACTTCGCGCGGGCTGGGAGGGTCGGGATATTACTCAGTTTTACGTGTATGTTGACAACTTGGGGGTCTTTGGACTGGAGAGTGGATGCATCGAACAGGCCATGCGGGAGCTGACCGAAAAGTTCAATGGTCTGGGACTTGAGCTCCATGCAAGCATGCAAGTGAAGTTAAGAGTGGTTCGGTTGAAGCCCTTGGCTGTGCAGTGGATGGTGTAAAACTTCGGAGCCGAATTACCAGTGCTCGACTATGGAAGGTACATCAGTCCATATGTGGCATTTTACGACGGGGCCGTTGCGCAGGCAGGGCCTTGGAAGTCCTGGTAGGGCATCTTACCTTCTGTGCCTTGATGAATCGGTGCTCCCTTTGCATTCTGTACAGTGTGTATCCTTTTATTTGAAAACACTACCAATCTGTGGGGAAGCTTTGGCCAAGTGTTATTTCCGAGCTTGAGGCATGCAAGGGTGTCCGTTTTATGCTGGTGCAAGATTTTTGGCGCCCGTGGAACAAGCTGGTCACCTCCTCTGACACGAGCCTCTCGGGGTTCGGTGTCTGCCAGGCATATTGGCCGGCCGAGGAGGTTGCTGAATGCGGTCGGAGGCCCGAGCGGTCCAGGTTCAAGCGCATTGGCCCCCATTCTGCTAGAGAATCCGCTTTGGAGTGTGCTGGCTTCAGACAGGATGCAGGTGGACGGTGGTTGTCGTCCGAGGGCCACTCTTCTTTGCTCGAGGCAGGCTGGGTAGTTGATGATAGTTTTGTCGAAGTTCCATCAGCGGGCCTACGTCGACATCTTTGGAGCCCAAAGATGCAAGGAAGGTGGGCCTACAAGGAGGACATCCTCGTGTTGGAGGCCCGTGCCGTGCTGAAGGGAGTGAAGAGGGTGCTGCTTACGCGGTATGGACATGGCATTCGCCAGCTTGCTCTCTGCGACAATCTTTCAGTTGTGCTTGCCTTTGGTCGCGGTCGGTCTCGCAACTTCAAAATCCTCAAGGTTCTCAGAGAGTTCAGTGCCTTCCTCTTTGCAAGGAATGTTCATGTCAGCATACGGTGGATACCTTCGGAACTGAACATTGCCGATGAGGGTTCCAGGGAGTTTGACGATTGCAAGGATTCAAAGCTACTTGTAGACCAGCTTGTCGATGCATGGGCCGATGAAACATCGCCTTCAAGTCTGCAGAGCCTGAGGGGTGAATTTGCAGATGCCAGGAAAGAGGGCAAGGACGCTCAGCTGCTCGGTGAGCGACCAGGCAGCCTCACCCAGCTTCTGTGGCTCCGAAACGGGAACGCTTTCTGTCACCTCTTCGGGTGCGGGAAGCAGTCGAAAACGAACCTTGACCCTGAACAGAGACTTCCAAGCTATCGAACCCACTTCGGGAAAGAAGCGCAACAAGCACCTCGGGGTGAGTCAAGGGCTTACCCAAAGGCTGACCGAGAACAATGTGGAACCCTTGGCTCTGCCTTCGTTGGAGGTGGAGCTGAGAAGGACTCCACAAGTACGCAAGGATCGAGTGGAGGAGGATCCAAGCGAGAGCGCCAGCACTTCATCCGAGGTCGCGGACGTGCACTCCGCCGGCAGCGAGCGCACGCTGAAAAGCAGGCCAAAAAGGCTGCTCAGGAGGACCGTCGATGCAACGATGAAGAGCAAAGTCACTTCCTTGGAGGAGGCTGCAGTGTCGGCCAAAGTTCGAGAGAACTACCAGAGGAGGTTGCGAGAGCTACACCAGTTTGTCAAAGACAACAAGCTCCGGTTCGGAACGGACGAGGAAGTGGATTCGGTTCTGGTGACCTTCTTCAACACGAGTTACCGTTCTGGGGATGGGAGTTCTGTGGGAGACTACACCCTAGCCCTAGCGGCGCTCATGGACAAACATCCCCAGTTTGGGCGCCTCGGCTCGAGGAAGATTCCCCGGGCATGGAGGAGCCTGCAGGGATGGCGCAAGTTGTGCCCATCTCGCTCGAGGCTTGCCTATCCCATTGCAGTGTGGGCGGCTGTCAGTTGGCGCATGGTCGTCCGAGGACATGTGGCGAAGGCCTTGTTCAACCTCCTCCAGGTCTCGACCTACCACCGTCCGGGTACCCTTCTCAAGCTTCGTCGGTTGGGTAACCCAGGCCGACCAGCGGTGTAACTGGTCACTGGTCGGTGGTGACGAGCCTCTCGGAGACCTCGGATGTGTCGAAGACGGGGACGAAGGACGACTCGGTGATGCTGGACTCTGCATGGCTGCAGTTCGCCAGCCCTTTGCTGGAAGAGCTGACGAGGGGCCCGAAGCTCGACAAAGCGTGGAGCTTCGACTACGCCGAGTACCTCTCTGTCTTTCACAGCTGCTGTCAGGATTTGCAGATATCCCTGGTCCCGTATCAGGCCAGGCACTCGGGCCCCAGCATCGACCGGGCGAAGAACCTGAGAACACAGGAGGAGGTGCAGAAACGAGGAGGCTGGCAGAGTCGAAAGAGTGTTGCTCGTTGCGAAAAGGCGGGCAGGTTAGCTGCGACGTGGCAAAAGTTGGACTTGAACGTGCAGTTGACCTGTCGAGCAGCAGAGCGATACCTATCGGAAATTATGCTCGGCCAAAGCTATCCGGATATACCTCTTCCTGGCCGCTGAGTCGCGGCCGATATTTCGCTGACTTCTTTTCGGGCTCCGGGCGAGTCGCGAGAGCTGTCGGCTCAATGGGTTTCAAGTGCAGGAGATGTGAAGCATGTCTTGCCGAGTCACACGATTTGACTGACGCTAGAGTGTTGATGAAAGTTCGCGCTGACATTAAGTTGATGCGTGTTTTGAGTGCTATGCTGTCGCCTCCTTCCAACACTTTTTTGCCAGTACAGGGCTTCGCAATCCACAGTTCCCGTGGGGACTTCCCGCCCTTCAGCGTGCTGATGAAGAAAAAGTTCGGATTAGCAATTCCTGCATCTCTTCAGCTTTGACAATTAATTCTGGATGGACCCACATCAATTGCCATTGATTCTCGAGCATCCCCACTCTAGCCGGAACACAGATCCCGTCCTCGCCGGTCCGGCGGGACACTATAGCCCCAATAGTGTAGCGAAGTATCTGAGCTGTTTGTTGCCTTCTGGTAGTGTTGTACGACCCGATGATTTTGACCCATTTCGGGCACAGCGCGTAGGTGAAGCCTCGAATCCAGGACCTCCTACCGGAGGAGGCAGTAGATCCACCAACCGACGACGACAGGAGTCAGGGTTCGATCTTGTTCGGATTCTTGCTCTACTCCAGGAATTGCTCAGCCTACTTGGAGGTGACCCTGAAGCATTGACTCAGTTGACAAGTCTTTTGCAGGGCACGGCAGGGGATCAGCGGCAGGGCTCTGTGGGCTCTGGGGATGCCGCGACGACAAATCCGACACGCACCGTTCAGGTCGCTGAGCGCATCGGGAAAGGAAGGGGAGCGCCTAGGACACAACCCGTTAGCCCCCCTAAGACCCCGAATCCGCCTAGCAACACGGAGGATGGAACCTCTGGCCCCCCTAAGGCCCCTAAGCCTTCCGCCCCACTCGTAGAGTTGAAACTCCGGCAACAGGATTGGGATGGTCCTGTACTCTCGCCTGCTCAGGTGTTCGCGCAATTTGATGCCAAGAAGCCTGACCTTAAAGCTGTAGTACTTGTGCAGTCCAAGGAACAGCTTGAGGAACTTTGTACTGTATCAGCTGCCTTCCCTTCGGCGGCCATTGCTGTTGTTGCCTGTGGGGACTGGGATTGGGTAAGCAAGCCCATTGAGAGAAACCCCCCCACTAAGGTATCATTGCAATTGCTCCGTGGCACGGCCACGGTCTCCCGAGTGACGAGGCTTCACTTGCTAGGTGCCGCAGGGGCCCCTAAGCTTAAGCAGATTACTCGCAAAGCCACTGGCGTTCTCAAACCGGCCACCACTGAGGTGCTTCGCTTTGTTGCTGATGCAAAGTACATTTCTGAACAGGCTTTTGCTGAGTTGAAAGCCAAGCCAGCTGCATCCATTAGGCTGTGGGCTGCGGCTCACATCCCCACCGATGTCCTTGCCATCAAAGATATGTGGAGTTTCCGGGTTTCGGGCCCCGCCGGCTCAACCAAGGAAGTACTTTCGGGATTGGTCCGAGTGCAAGCGGATAAAAAGGATCTACTCTTGAGCCTTAGTGGCCGTGACCGTTGGTTCATTGCTTTGCCTGCCTCCAAGGACCCAGTGTCTTGGATTAAGCGCGAGCAAAAGGAGGAACCCCAAGACTACCTAGCCCGTGCTTTCGCTCTCTCCAAGGGTCGAGGTGTTGCCCGTGGGGATTCTAGTCTAGGGGTTCGCCTTACTGCTGCGGAGCATGCTGCAAAAGGGAAGGTCCTTCCCCACCGCACGTATAAGATTTGGCCCGTGCCTGCCGATTGGTCCCAGGAGACTTTGGAGCATGAGCTGAGCCAATTCAAAATGACTGACCTCACTTTTCTTGCCAGGCACCCGTGCAAGGGAGGAGTCAAGTTCTTGTATCGTGCCAAGGCCCAGGACCTAGAGCTTGCTGTCATTGAGCACGATAAGGGGTCCACTCAAATCGTCATGCAGCTGCATGCCCCTTCTCGGGGACTCGGTATTCCCATTAGGCCTGGTCGTGGATCCTTTTCGGCGGCTCTACGTCCTGATAAGCCTCGCCCTGTTGATGCACGTCAACAACCCGATGAACCACAGCAAGGGACAGAGCAAAATCCTGGCCACAATCGCCCTGCAGGTGCTGACTCGGCAAACAAGCGCGTTGCTGTGAGCACCCCGGCACCTCAAACACATGTTTTACCAGAGGGGCTGACGCGAAAGCCGAACCCCGGAGAGGGTGATTGCCTTTTTCATGCACTGAGCCAGGCGACTGGCTCCAACAAGCTAGCCCTTCGAGCTGCCATAGTTTCCCACATTCGCCGGTATGAGTCTAGGTATGCTTCCTGCTGGAATTGCCTTGCGCCTGAGAAGGACGATGTCCCTCTCACCGATTTCGCTGCTTACCTTGAGGCCTTAGCCAAACCTGGAGCTTGGACATCATTGTTGGAAATCCACGCGGCGGCGCGGCACCTTGATCGTCCGATTCTTGTGTACTCGGAGCGCATGGCCTTGCAGGTTTGCAACCGCTCGGGTAAAGCAGGTTTGCCTATTATGCTGTATTACCACAATGCCCATTACGAGTTGATCGAGGGGCAGGTTCCTTCTGAGGCGCTCGCCAAGGCGGTGGAGGCGCCGAAATGTGGCTGCAAAGGAGGCTCTCTTAAGAGGGGGAGCCGGTACCTTCGGAGGCGGGGTGCACTCGGGCCTCGGCGTTTTCGGGTTTGACTCGTTGGTCTGATGAGACTCGCCCTGGAGCTAAAGGCAAACCCCCTCTCCCGGCCCGGGAGAAGGGGTTTGCTTTGGCCACCCAATCTGCCTCGTCTCAGCTTTCTCTAGCCCAATCTTTTGCACGGGGGCGGGCTAGGGCTGCGGCTTCATCAGCCTCAGCGCATGCTGGCTCCGGGCCGGCTTTTCTTCCGGATGATGTTGCTTCGTGTGTCACTGGCCGAGCCCCCTTTGAGCATCAGGCTGGTGTTAACGACATTGCCAATCTCCAGGACCTTCGTGAAGATTCACCACCGCCAGAGGCCGCATCGGTGCAGCGCAAGTCGAACAGGCTTAAGCGCACAGGTTGGGAGTGCCCCATTTGCCATTGGACCGTGCGCACCAAGCATTGGATTCAGGCCAAGGCGCAACATGTTGCATCTTGGCACCCGCATCTTCGTAAGTGGCTCAGGCTTGAGCGGCAAACCAAGCCCCGTGAGTTTGGACCCCGTCACCCCACATACATTGCATCAGCTCGTCAGCGCGCTGCCAATGTTAAGAAGTGTGCTGCAGTAAGCCGACATTTGCAGAGAGCCAAGCATTATGATGGACCCCACTGTGTGCAATTGTTTAGGTTTCCGCTGCTCAATCGGAACACCCACACCAAGACGGGAAAGGTCATCAAGCCTCGTAAGGTTGGCCCGCCCACAGCCATTTGCATCAGGTGCAGGCGCACCGATACCAGTTTCGATAAACTCGATAGGCAAGCGTGTGAGGCCCCGATTGAGGGTCCCAAACGGGCTCAGCGGCTTCGGCGTCTTTTGGCACCGGTGCACAACGACGATGAGCCTGTTGAGCAAAGGGAAATCGCTGCCACTGCGTTTCGGCTCCTCTCTCCCCCGCCTGCTACCGAGGCTCAGCTCGTGAAGCGGTTTCGGTGGCCCCTGCCTGAGGTTCGGGATTCTGGGGGCCATGGCCCCTGCTTTAAGAAATGCTTGCATGTCAGCCGTCGGGCTAAAACCATTGTTGCAAAACCGTGCCTGGGCCGACCCACTTGGAGCAAAACACGGCGCTCGGCCATCCAGGTGTTGCAAGCCCACTTGCCGTGCAATGATCCCGCCAGGGATGCTCGAATCAGGACTTTGTTGCACCTGCTCACTGCTGCTGAGAGCGAGGCGCCATGACGTCGCCTCCTTCACAGCTTCGTTTGGGGACGCTTCACGTCCGCAGCCTCAGCACCAAGCTGGGGGCCGTTTTGTCGTTGATGAGGGCCCATGGCCTACACACACTTTGCCTCCAGGAAACTTGCATTCCCTTGGATTCGCTTCCTGCTGTGCATCATGCTGCTTCGCAGGTGAAGTGCTCCTTCTTCCCGGGAGCTCAGGCCTGCAACTCTCGCGGGACTCCTTATGCCGGGGTTGCGTTTCTCACTCGTTGGCCGGCTAAACCTGTGGCCATCCCCAACTGGCCTATGGCGGAGGGCCGTGTTGCTGCACTTCGGGTTTTTCGGCCTCGGGCTAGACCCTTGCTCACGGTGGGCGTGTACTTGCATGCCAGCGATGCGACTTCAGCGGCCACTTTACTTGACACTGTGTTGCCGTGGGCCGCTTCTTTGGGCGAGGATTTCTGCGTGATGGGTGATTTCAATCTGTCCAAATCCCACTGGCCCACTTCGTCCTTACTTGCCTCTGGCCAGGTGTACGATGCTGATACGGTGATCGGTGATCCTTCCTCGCTCCCGGGCACTCGCCGCAACGCTAAGGGTCACCTCACGGGCAGTGTTCTTGACTACATGCTGCATTCGCCTTCGGTGCATGTGCGGGCCCGCGGCCAGGAGCGGGCGGTTGCTGACCATGATCTGGTGTATTACTCACTGCCAATGCTGGGGCTGCCTGCTCGCCTTACTTGGCCCCCGCGGCCTCGTCTTACTTCGCACCCTCCTCCGGCTGACGCCTGGACTTCTGCGTGGCCTCGGTTTCGCCTTACTTTCGAGGCCGCTCTGGACTCCGGTGATTTGAATGCTGCGTGGGCTGCTCTTTCTGCTTGCCTTGCGGAGGTGGTTTGTGACCGCAAGCCAGCAATTGCTCCTGATCAGGCTCGTGGCCCTCGTGCTCGCCCCTGCGAGCCTCACCTCAAGGCCCCTACGTACCAGTCCATCCTGGAAAGACGCCTGCGTCGCCTCGGGCGTCGCGCTCTTGAGTTTGCGACTGACGTTGGCAATCAGCCTCTGTTTCAAGCCTTGCTTCGGTCTGTGATGGATTTGGGTCAGGTCTTTCCTGAGCTTCATTCCCTGCCTTGGGGTACGCCTGAGGCGGCGCACAGTGTGTTCCAACTTGCGGAGACCCAGGCGGCTCTCGACAAGGACACCCGGCTTCAGCACTGGCGCGCCACCACCGGTGAGGACTTCGCTAAACTGTGTCAGTGGGTTCGCTCCACTTTGCATGTGGACGCCCCTTTACAACCCGACTCGGGCCTTTCACCCCCAGCACCAAGCTGAGGCCGCGCGCACTGTTTGGAAGGAGCTTTGGGCTCCCACTGCACTCCCGGAGCCTGAGGGCTTTGATCGGTTGCGTCAGCTCGTCGGTGTCACTACGGAGTTTCCACTGCCTACTGTCACTGGTGCTTCCTTGTTTGCGCGTTTCAAGGCTACGCTCAAGCGTTCTACCGGTCTCGACGGCTGGGGTGCTGCTGCTTTTGTCTCCGCCGGGCTGGGTTCCTGCGAGGCTTTGGCCTTGTTTTGGGCCGCGTGTCTTCAACATGGTGGTCTCCCCGCCATCTGGATGCAAATCCGTGTGGCTTTGCTGCCGAAGGCGGATGGTGGTCTTCGTCCCATCTCCGTGGCTTCTGCTGCCTATCGCGCCTGCATGACCTGCCTACTGCGGGAATGCCGCCCTTGGTTCATGAGCTGGGCTGACGAGGAATTGGTTGGTGGTGTTCCGGGGCGTGACATGTCCCTCTCTCACGACTCACTTTTTTCTTCGTTGCTTGACGCTAGGAGCCGTCACCGTGCTTTTGTTGGGGCCAAACAAGACGTGAAGAAGTGCTTCGACACGGTCCAGTGGGACCTTGCTTTACAAGCCTGGACTTGGCTTGGTGCTCCCGCCCGCTTGGTTACCTTGCTTCGGGCCTTCTACGCTGGTCAAAGCCGTTGGCTCGCTGTGCAGGGCCACTTCGCTGCGGAGCCCATAACCCCGACCAGGGGCATCCTTCAGGGATGCCCGGCAAGCGTGGGGCTTTTGAACTCCCTCATGCTGTTGTGGGTGCGCCATCTGCGTGCTGCCGCTCCTACTATCTCCCGCTCTGTTTTTCTTGACGACAGGGCCCTTTGGGGCACTGGACACCGGGCTGCAACCGACCTTTGCACCGCACTGCAGGCTGCTGCTGAGGTGGACAAGGCGCTTGCCTTGTCTACCCACCCTGACAAGCTTGCGTCCTGGGCCACTCGGGCCCCTGCCAGACGCGTTCTTGAGTCTGAACCGGTCCTTTGCGGCCCTGTGGTCTCTTCTTTCAAACTGCTCGGCATCACTTACCGCCTTGCCACGTGCAGTGGTGCAATTGATGCCGCCAGCATCTCTGAGGTTGTTACCAGACGCTGCCGTCGCATTGCCATCGCCGCCAGAACTCTGTTGATGCGGCGTCACCTCCTGCGTTCTTTGGTGATCAGCCTGATTGCCTGGATTGGCCCCTGGGCCAAGGTGTCTGCCAAGACCTGCTCTGGCTGGGCACGCTCTGTTGAAGCTGCCGTCGGGCGTACTGTTTCTTCTCGTTCCAGACTGCTGCTGTGGTCGGCCTGGGCACAGCCTCGTTTGAATCCGCAGTTTGCGCTTGCCTTTGCCGCGATTCGTCATGAGCTCAGACGTGTTGGCAGTGGGCCCCAGCCGCGGCCCAACTGCCACGCCTGCCCTTCTTTGGAGGCTTCGCTGTCGGTGTTTGCTTGGAGCATTCTCCCCAGCCCCAGCGGGGTTTGGTCTACCCCTTTCGGCCAGTTTAGGCCGGGTTTTCTTTCTGCTGCGGTGGCCCAGCGCCTGGCTGAGGACTCTTGGACCAGACAACAGTGGGCTAATGACCCTAAGACGGATGGTCCTTTGGATGCTCAGCAGCACGTCTGCTTGGCCTACCACCACAAGGCCGTTTTGCAGTTCATGCCTGGTTGTGAGCGCCGCGTCTTGCATGCTGCTGCTTTCGACGCTCGTATGCTTCAGCGCAAAGCCATCCCCTTCGATGCTTGTGCTTGCGGTGTTGAGGTCCCTACGAGGACACACGTTACTTTCGACTGCTCTGCCGATCCCTGGACGGGCGCGCAAAGATCCACTGCGGAGCGCCGCCTGTTACTGCCTTTAGTCACGGGCCTTGCTGCGCCCGCCTGGTCGCTGCCGGAGGTGACCGAAGACCTGCTGCTCGGACTGTCTGAGGCTCGCATCCTCGATGGTGCTCTCTTGGTTGCTACTGACGGTAGCGCACTTCAGTGTCCCAAGCAACGCGACCTACTGTGGTTCCAGCACGCTGGCTGGGGCATTGCTGTCACTGCGAGCTGTGGCTTTCATGGCGTGGTGCCTGGCCTCGACCGCTCTTCTGCTGCTGCTGAAAGATACGCCTTGCTTGTGCTGGCCTTCGCTGCGCATGCTTTGCAGGCTCCTGTGTGTGTCTATACAGACAACGAGGCGCTGGTCACTTCCTTCAAGTCCCAGGTGCCGCCGCGAGACTTCGCTGCTTACTGGTGCTTGGTTAAGCAGCTGCTTCCCGCCAACTCTTCGATCCACTGGGTACCAGCTCACGAGCGCCACCCCGAGTGGACTGTTTCTACGCCTGGCACTACTGAGGCGGAGATTCGTGCATTGAACCATCGTGCTGACCTCTCTGCAGGTGCTGCTACGGATCCGGCTAAGCCAGCTTTCGCTGCAGCGCGACTCAGTTGTCAGGAGGCCTCATCATGGGCTGCTGCTGTTGTCAAGAGGCAAGTTTGCCGTACCACGTCTTGGCACGAAGCTGTCATGGAGCGCATGAAAGCTTTAGAGATAGCGCCGTGAGTGTTTCACTTTTTCGCTAATGAAAGGCTGCAATCCCACCATTTTGGGCAGGGTACAGTCTCGCCATACATACATACAGCATCCCCACTCTAGTTTGCTTTGGTGCATCCCTGATTTCGTTGCATTGCAGCAAGCATCATACCCATGTCATCGTGACGGACTCTGTTCAGTGGGGCACGCCCTTTTGTAGACGCATGCGTCTTCTGGCAGGCAATCTGTCCGCGGATGACGTGGAGAGGTGCGATAGGCAAGGCTCTGGATGCAAAGGGATGTGCAGTCGTTCGAATTTGCTCCATGCTCCGCCGCTCATAGGCAAGCGCAGGAGTTCTTTGGACGCTGGTAGGTCTTGGCAGTACCCGTACAAGCTCTGTCATGCTCTGGCTCGGTCCTTGATGGCTCCTCGTATGCTTGTTCTTCACGATCAGCTTTGACTTTGCCCTCCCTCCCATGCCCTGGTCTACATTCACTTGGGAGGTCATGATTTGGGATGGATGTTCATAGCACTGCAGCTGCGGAGTCCGACTTCTTGGATGCCGAAGCTGCCACTGCTCGTTTTCTTTAAAGGCTCAGCTGGCGTGGACGAGTGAGCGCTTTCTTGAGAAGAATGACCGCAAAAAGGCCGCTCTCTTTGCACAGAGTTCCAGGACATTTCGTTTGGAATTCCCATCCCTTTGTGATAAATGAGATTGCTGGGATGTGAGTTGGGGGTGGCCATGTGAAGTTTCTGTAAGTTCCCATGTTCCGACCTTCATGTACATCGTATACAAGGCAGTTTCTTTGACATAGAAAGTCAATATGTTCTTCTCATGTGCATGGAGGTGGTCAAGTGGTCAAGGAGAAATCAAGATTGCAAATCCGAATTACCATCAACATTTTGTGTTTACTATTGCGCTTGACTAGCACCATATCTTTAAATCACATGAAAAGCTGGAGCGGGATATGATAACGACATGTTCTTAGCATCACATAGATGGATGATAGACTTCCCTCACAGTGACACTTCCTGTATAGAGTTCTCCCTTCCGATCCTCTCTTTTTCACGTACCTGCCCGCGCACTTCTACTTAGGCCCCCACGCATCTCTCAAAACGACCTCTCCCATACAGCGCGTGGATACCTCCAAGCCGCATCACTCTTGTGTAGAGGCTCCCCTGTACTTGGATTGCTTTGCTCCAACCAGCTGGGGTCTGAGGCCCCGTTTCGGCTGCCCAAAGGCAAAGGCGTGACGCTACTCGTCATCAGCTTGACTAGTGCTCTGGCATAGCCAACTTTAGTCGAATTCTGCTTGCTGATGGGGTGGCAGCTCAGGCATGACGGCGCATGATGTTCAAGCCGGCATCGAGAGAAGGCATGTCGTCAGATTTGCTGATGTGTGGGTGTGTGTGACTTTCTCATCCTCTGCAACACAACACGCTGTAGCCTTTTTGAGCCCAGGATCGCTTGGATGGCATCGGGGAGGCATTTGCCGCCCGCGCAGCCGCCCCGCATGACCAAGAGGTTGTGCAGCCTTGCCAAGGATCACCGGTTGGTTTAAGGTCGCCTGCTCTGTTGTATCCTAATTTGCGATTACAAGCATTTGTATTCAGCTTCTGTCCGCTAGAGTGTGGCCGCTGCCATCAGTGAACAGACGAAAACCGCAATGCTTCTGAATTGCCTGCATGTTGCGTTTGTGGTGGAAGACTGTGGGACCTCATCGTTGTGGGTGTTGGAGCTACCCTCGGGAATCATTGGTGGATCTCATCGCCAGCATCTGCATTCCGGGCAACGTTTCCGTTACAAGCCTTTAAGCTCCGTTTGCTGGGTCTGGGTGGTACATGATGAAGGCGCCGTGGAGCAAATGTGTGTCTTTTCACTTGCGGAAAGGCTGGGTGGAGGTCTCAATTTTTGTATCCTGCAGGATTGTTGTCTGTTTCCCGGAAAAGAAAGTGGTGTCAGTTGTATTTCCCTTCAGCGTCGCAGTTGTGATCGTGTGTTCTGCTCGGATCAGCTCCCCAGTGCTGCCGTGCTGAAAAGCCAAACCCTTCAGCGCGACAGCCTGGTGGCTGAATCAGCAGACAGTCTGAAAACTGCTCGTTAATGTACACAGCATTGCAGTCCGCAAAATGCAAAGCAAAGCGTGGCGGCCGAAGAGTTTCTCACAGTGTGTCGTGACACAAAGTCTTCAATGCCGAAGCCAGTTTCTATAAACTCCAAAGTTTGTGACATTTGTGGCCGGGACACAAACAATGTGAACATGCCTTCAAAGCGGTGGGGACAAGCATGCTCATGCCAGTGTGGTTGCGACAGAGTTGGCCTCAGTTCGCGGCTCAGTCGCTGTCCAGCTGTTCTGGTGCTATGAGACAGTGTCTAAGTCACTATTCCCGGAAGATGTCCAATGTTGGGTAAAATTGGCGTCCCCAGACGATCTGCCCCTTGTCTGCATTTGCTGACCCTTGCCGTTTTGCGACTCGATCAACATCGGGATCGACGTCTTTGCAGCCGTGGCTCGCAGCACGTTGCAACAGGCGTGTGGTTGTGAAAGGAAATTTTACTTTCTTGTCGCCTGCCCCTGTTATTCTGCTTGTGAGGATGGGCTGCGGCAGTTGCTGACTGTTGTTGGGATTTGTCTTCTCGAACCATGCTGGCTGGGGGACTGGACAGCGTGATGCCCAGTCTTGTTTTCGCGCCTTCGAAAAATTCCAAGGTGGGGCAATCGGGCACCCCGTGTCCCAACTGACCCCCAAGAACGGCATCGACAGGTATTCTTGACCTGATGGCGACACGACGTTGCCGATGGTATGCGGGTCAAAGCCCCGATGGTTCTCGGTCTGCTCGGTGTCCTGGTTGCTAATTGTGTGTTGCTCAGTGCCTGGCCACATACATTTACTCGGGTTGGTGCTGTTATGAGCGCCTGCGGTGCGGTGCCCATGTCGTCGCGGCTTGCCGACGCATGGCTTGTACAGGGGGCTTTACCTCGAGTTTGGATTTTTCATGCTTTGCGATGCTCCCCCTGTGCATTGTTGACTTCTTGAACAAAGAGAGTAAACCAAAGCAAGGGGTATGGCATGAAGTTTCAGGCTGTGCATACTGTGCCTAGCACAGCTTTGAATTTTGATTGGAAGCACAGTGAACAATCATCCCTGTGTGCGTGCGAAAGCGACGTGATACTAATATTCCAGCGGTGTCTGGTGCAACAGTCGTGCGGCTGTTCAAGCAACAAGAGTTCTGAATGAACCTGGCAACATAGATTGATTGAGTCCAACTTGGATGAAGGATGCATGGAGGCATCAGATCGCATAACGCAAAAGGATTGACAAGCAACAGAGACCAAAGAGAGGGGGATGAAAAGATAATCTACTAACCGGATGGGCTGTTTTTGCAATGCCGGCTAGGGCCTATCCAGTGTGCTTTGTGTGTGTGTGTGCGCGTGAGGGAGCAAGCAGGTGTAGAGAGGCTGCAGCTGTCATGGGTCATGATAGTTCGTTCGTTGAGAAATCTCGGTCAGGCCTACCAGATGCCCCATCCCATGAGACTGCAGGGTCGGGTTTACGATGTGCCGCTGAGCAAGGCAGCGAATGCATTGTGCATGAACATGTTCTCCGAATGTCTTCCCTGTTTGTTGGTTGCTGGCTGCCAGCACGAGAAGTTCGAGCGAGCCTTCACTATTCTACAACGGGAGATTACTGTGGGAAGGCGCCTTCCGCAACTGCCCAAAGGCCTTTGGAAGATTGGATGTGTGGGTTCCGCTTGCAGTCAGCTGCATCATTTGAGCACCACCTTTGTGCAGACCGCTCTGGATTGGCCACTGTCGGTCGGAGAGAAGCGCGACCGCCTGACTCTGTGAAGCGCTTAGTCATGCCCATGGGCTCTGCAAATGCTATGATGTCGCAGCATACACATACTGCTTTTGCAGTGGCGTGTTGATGGGCGCCAAATATCAAGCAGTGAACATGCTCATCGTTTGATGACAGCAGAGAGGTACACCAGGGCAGGTGTCAAATGCGAAATGGACCAGACTTCAATTTTTCTCGAGAAGTTGCAACAAGCAAATTTTCCAAAAAACCAGCCGAGACGGAGGCTGTGCATGCAAAATACAAACGGGACGCCGCAGCCTCCATAAACGCGATGCACATTTGTGTGGCAATCTGCCATCTTCAACGATGAGTGCTTCACACTTGCTATGGCTGCTATGGTCGTCACTGTGGTTGCACTCGCTCGAAGGTTGGCATCAAAACTGAGAGATCTGGTCTCTTCATTTGCATCTGGCACCGAGGGGCCATTCAGCGGCAGTATGCAAGTGCAACAGGCAGCTGTGCATTGGAAAAGGCCCAGTGATTTGATTGGTGCTGGGTTTGCGCAGGGTTTTTTGCCGTTGTGTGTGAATATTCCAGCGCTCTGTCTCTAGATCATACATTCATGTTGTACTTGCATTATATTCCTGCCTGGTTCGTATTCTTGCAGAAGCTCAAAAACTAGACGGCGATTACGCTCACCGGGCCCACCGCTCCTATACCGCGCGCCCAAATGTCGGCTTTGTCGCAGACAGGTGCACCCATGTACCGCCTCGTGTATTTCGCATAAGTCAGCTCAGCAGCTTGCCAGGACTTGAATCTTTCTTTGAACATCCTGCGCAAGTCATTTATGTGTGGCTCACTTGCAAGGCAAACCTGCCAGCTTCCTGGATTGAGCATACGATGAGTTTCTGGAGCCGAGGAAGCGCAAGAGGGACGTGTACGTCATGGTTGCAGAAAACAACAAGTGCCCCGGTTGACTGTTGCCAGGGTCCACTGTGAGGAAAACCGCTGTCATGGTAAAGCCGCTCTCTCATGTCCTTCAGGGGAGGGTACACTCTCGTCAATAGCACAGGACAGCCTGTCGTTTTCAGCAGACCGTGCTGACCATGCTGCAATTGCTGAACCTGTTGACTCGTCCCCTGCATCAGCGCATCAGGAGAAATCTACCCTGTTACCGCGGAGCATATTCGCGACAACTTGTTATTATACTCTGCCGACGTCCCTCCAG